CCCTGAGTCAGCATCCCCCAGGTGCCAGCCCAGCACCTCCTGCTGCCCAGGCCATCTCGTCCTTCCTGCCACGTCAGATACTTGATAGCCAGCATGGCACCCAGGAATTTGGCTCCAAGGGAACATGGGAGGGCTTGGAGTGGCTCTGAGCAGGGCTGGAAGAAGCCTGAGCTGTGCTGTGCTTTTTTGGGGGGGGGTTTCTGCTCCCTGTGCCGTGTATGTCAGGATCTTTGTCCCCTGTGTCACAGAGCTCCCTGGCAGTGCCTGGGGGCAGATGGAGCCCAGCTCTGCTGAGCTGGCTGGTGCTGCTTGGTGCTGAGCAGCCAGGGCCCCCCAGGAGCTGCCTTTGCCTGGGCCTGGGGCCAGCTCTGCCCTGTGCCCATCAGGCACAGCCAGTGGCACACGGCAGGAGCCCCCTGGGGCGGCTGTGGCCCAGGAGGTGGCACTGGCAGCGTCCCAGCAGGATAATTGCAGGGGCTGATGGTGCAGCTTGGGGCCGGGAGGAAAGGCAGGAGTCAGCAGAAGAGCCCCGTGGCAGTGGGGCCGAGGCCGGGCCTTGCCCCCACACACTTGGCCCCAGCATGGGCAGCTCCTGCTCCGCCCCTGTGGCCACCCATAAAAGCCCTGTGCTGGCCCAGGGCTGCATCCACTGCTGCGGCCTCGCTCTGCTCAGCCCAAGGCCAGGTGGGTCCTGTGGGGCTCTGTCTGCTGGCCCAGGGGCTGCCCAGGGACCTCCTTGGCCACCAGAGCTGCCGGGGCAGTGGCCATGGTGGCACCAGCCTGGCACAGCCAGGAGCAGCTCAGCCTCCTCGGGAGGGCAAGGAAGGAGCCCCTTGGCCTGGAGAGATGGAGCCAGGCTGGGCCCAGGGATTTGGGCAGGGATTGTGAGGTCTGGGGCTATGGGAATCAGGGTTGTGAGTGGGTGCAGGGCACAGGGCCAGTGCTGGGCAGGGTGGGCAAGGCCGTGTGGCTTTGAGCAGTCAGGGTGCGTGTCAAGTCGGGGAGCAGGGCACTGCAGAATGGGGACATCCCCCTGTCTCTTCTAACCGCAGTTTTTCTGAATTCTCTTCCAGCCTCTTCTCCCTCACACCAAGATGTCGTGCTACGATCTGTGCCCACCCAAGAGCAGCTCCGAGCTGTGCCCCCCCAGGAGCAGCGTGGCCGTGCCCCAGCCCATCGCTGAGAGCTGCAACGAGCTGTGCGCCCGCCAGTGCCCCGACTCCTCGGCCTTGATCCAGCCGCCCCCCGTGGTGGTCACCTTCCCCGGCCCCATCCTCACCTCCTTCCCCCAGCAAGCCGTGGTGGGCTCCTCCGGAGCTCCGGCCTTTGGCGGCTCCCTGGGGCTGGGCGGCCTCTACGGCGCCGGCGCCACCCAGGCCTCGGGAGGCCTCTGCACCTTTGGCAGGGCCTGGGCTGCTCCCGCCTGCAGCCCTTGCGCCTTGCCCCGCTACAGCAAGAAGCTCTGGGACACCTGCGGGCCCTGCTAGGCTCAGCCCCGGAGCTTTTCTTATCTGTCGGCTATGGAGAAATTTAGGAGTTGTTCATCCCGATTGTTGCCGCCATTACTCTCTTCTTCAAACCTTTCCTTTTCCAATACTTTGTATTTCACTTAATCTCCAGCTTGATGATCTGGTCCTTAATATTCTTCTTTGTAAATTTGTTATGTATAGTAATTTCATTGTTCTTTCTTTATCTTTGCTCTTTATTGTTTTTGTCATTTGTATAAACCTCTTATCCTATTTGCATTTATTATCTCTACTTGTTGACAGCTGCACGAGTTAAAAATTTTATCTTTGTTTTTTTGATTCTCTTTGTACCTCTCATTTCCCCATGCTTACCTTTGTACTTTGTATGTGATTTATTCAAGTTGTTCCTTCAATAAATCTTTCATGCATTGAATTTTTATGTTGTTTTCATCCCTTTTTATTTTAAATGGTGTTGAGTATTCGCTTGCAGTCATTCCTGCTCATAACAGACCTGTTCAACTTGACCATATCTGGTTGATTAAATCTCTGCGGTGTCACTGGAAAGGGCCTGGGAGTGCTGGAGCCATTCTGGGAGGAGCAGCCTGCCCTGGATGACACAAAAGGGAAAGTAAAAGCAGGGCAGGGCCTGGGCTGGCCAAACCCAGCGGCTACAAAGGATCTGATCAGGGCTGAGGTTCCTGGCAGCTCCTGTTACTCACCCTGGGACATGCAGAGCCCATTAAAAAAACAAAAACAGGGAGCAGAGATCATTACTCAGTGATCTCACAGCCCTCGCTCCTCAGAGGCTCCAGAAAATCTCCAGAGAGTGTTTTTTTCCTCACATGAACTCCCCAAATAAATTTCAGTAGTGAAATTCAGTAGTTCAGAGTGAGCTGAAATTAATTGTTTTTAATACAGAGTGGAGAGAGGCAATCACAGAACCATGGAATTGTTTGGGTGGGAAGGGATCTCAAAATCATCTCGTTCCACACCCTGCCTTGGGCAGGGACATTCCCACCACCCCAGGTTGCTCAAATTCCTGTCCAGCCTGGCCTTGGGCACTGCCAGGGATGGGGAATGCATGGAATAACCCCTGCCAGAGCCTCCATACACTCCCAGGGATGAATTTATCCCCAAAATCCCCTCTGAACCCCCTCCCTGTCGGTCTGAACCCATTCCCCCTTGTCCTGGCCCTCCATCCCTTGGGAATTGTCTCTCCCCGTGTTCCTCGGGGCCCCTTCAGCTCCTGCGAGGTCACCCCAAAGCTTCTGGAGGCTGAACAATCCCGGCTGTCCCAGCCTTTCCTCCCAGCCTTTCCTCCATCCCTCGGATCCCATCCTGGAGCCTCCCCTGGGCTCTCTCCCCGGGCTGGGGCAGCTCTGCAGGTGAGGTCTCACCTGAGCAGGGCAGAATCCCCCCTCCCCTGCTGCCCACGGGGCTTTTGATGCAGCCCAGGAGAAGTGGAGGGGTTGGATTTGAAGGGAGTTTGAGCCAAGGATGAGGCACAACTTGCTGTGACTGTCAGATTTATGTGAAATATAAATCAAGGCAAGGAAATTCCACCCCAGGCTGGGAGATGTGGGAACAACTCAATCCTTTTCTGTGCTTGGAGAATCTTTTTTTTTTTTCCTTTCTCTGCAGCAAATGCTGGGAAATTTGTTGGGGCAACGAGCAAAACACAAAGCTAAACCCAAATCCTTTATCACCTGCAGAGAAAATTAAAATATTGGGGTGAACCTGGATCACAACAACCAATCTTCAGCGTAGGAATTGAGAGCAGATATTTGATCTCTGGAATGAGAAGAAGGGTCTGTAAAATGCCCTGGATAGAGGTGAAAACCTAAAAGTTCTGCTCTGAAAAACCACAGAAAAAGGGGAAATAATGACAAACATTTATTTTTTATGGAAAATATACTTTGAAACAAGACAAATACAGCAAAGGTGGAATCTTAAACTCACAGAGGATTCAACCACGGATATGGAAAGCATTTTTTTAAGAAAGAAAATAAGAGCTGCATTAATTATTAACCCTTGACTTCCGATGGCACAAATCATGATTTAATTAAAGTAATGGCAGGCACCACCTTGTTTCCTGCACATTAAAGCAGCTGGGGTTGTGTAAGAGTGAAATGTCTAAATCACTCATGTCATACAACACCGAACATTAGCTGGGCTGAGCAGCAGATAATGAATGTTTGTGAAATCATTACAAAGTATTTTTCTCAAGAAGGGCCAGAAGAACACTGTTGATAAGAGATTACACCCATGACAATAAAGGAAAACCTTGATCTGCCTCTTTGATTTTGCTTCAAAATTCGGTATGGGAACATTAAGCACCACCGACCCTTTAAAAACCGAATTTCATTTGCCACTAAAACTTCTTTAGTTAAACAAAGTGATTTTTATTCGGGATTGATTCCAAACACTCCTCTCAATGGAAAACGATGAGGGAATTGCTGAGTGTCCAGGATGATCTCAGCAGATATTCATGACCCCTTAAATCCATCTCAGCCCAACAAGATCTCTTTAATTAGAGCTGGAAAAGACATTTATTCCTGGGTAGTCCTGGAATAAGCTGGTTTCTGCCTCTAATTAATTTATCAGATGATTTTAAAGAGCTGTTAAGGAAAAATGTCCGTGTCAGCCAAAGATGAGTCTTACAAAATCTTGGAGCAGACAAGCTCATGACAAGGTTGTAAAGGAAGAAGTAACATGTGGAGTCAGCTTAATGAACATGGTAATTCCAGTGAGGTCACTCTAATGATGCCAGGAGTTGCCAGCGCCAATTAAGCCCCAAGATTAAAGAAATCAAGATGGTGAAACTCCGACATCGCACGATAGGAGAATGTGAATGAAATCAGGACTGCCACAAACTCCAAACTTTCGTGACTCAAAGCTGGTAAACAATTTCTTTTAGGCAGAACCCCCAGCCCAAGCAAGATTCCGAGGCCCCAGGAATGTTGGGATTCTCTATATAAGCTCCAGTGCCTGGGTCCAGCCAGACACTTCTCGCAGCTCTCTCGCCTTGCGGAGCTTCGTGAGTATCAATTTTGAATTTCTTTCTATTTATTTAATGACAGCCTGTACCAGAGCAGCTGGGGAAGATTCCTTTAGGAATGCTGAGATTTAGAACAGCTTTACCTCGTTTCTGTCCCAAATTGCTCTTCATGAAAGCTGTGGGAAATGTGGGAGTCTGGTGCAAACACTTGAAAATGGAAGCAGGAACAGGAAAAAACCCTGGCTGGAATTACAGATAAACAACACCAGAGGTTCTGGTCAGGACATTCCCAGGGGAAAGGAAAAGAGAACAACACAAATAATCTCAAATTTACTAGAGGAGGAAATGTGAGGCATCTTCATATCTCGGGTCT